CGGTGATGATTTCAAATCGATACTTAGGTGGATTTTTCTGTCACTTTTAAATAAAACAAAAGTTTTATTTGGCTTTCTAGTCTCATGATCTTGTTCAATTCTGTGATTGGTGTCTGTGAATGAAATATGTATTAATAAATAAGTATTATTTTTGTTTAAAATTATATTTTAAGATTTGAGAGGTAAAAATTTTACCTCTGGAGAATAATTCATTAATACATCAGCATTTATTTGAAGCAATGTTTCTGCAGCATCTCCAATGATGGTTGCATCCAATGATGCTGACTTGTCTTCAAGGTAAATCAAAGCATTTTCTCTATATAGAATAAAATGTTTTAATTAGGAATATCTATTGTATAATGTGTAAACTAAAAAAATTAGCAATATTTGGACGAAAAATAAAACTTTTAGTAAAGATTTAAATATACTTAAATTACCTTGGAATAGCCTTTGCTTGTTCATATTTGCAAAATCTACACTTGTGGGTTTCTCCAAAATCTCCATTGGATGTCTTCTTGCAATTACTGCAAGACATGTACCGGAAGGATTTTTTTGCGTTAATTTTCCATTGTGCACTTACCCAGTAGAATTTCTCCTGAAAAAAAATGTATATATATAATTAAATACAAAAAGGGTGTTACTGTATATAAAACATTTTATTTCATAAAGTAATCTATAATTACTTCTAGATAGGTTCCCAACAAATCTGCAATTGGTGTAAAACTTTTCTCAGTTGGAGGGGTGAATTTAGGTGGGCTAATAGTTACAAATGGTTTATTTCCAATGAGTTTGTCCAGGGTTTCTCTATTAGCTTCCACCCTGTAAAAATAATTACATGTTCAGTTTTCTATAGAAGTTACAATAATGTATGTTAAAGAAATATGTATTCTAAATATAATAGAATACCAATTTTTGTACTCTGTAACAAAAGTTAATTCAGTGTCAATGAAGAAAGTGTTATTCACTTTGGTAGAAAGTGTAACACCTGCATGGCAAAGAAGAATTTATATATTGTGGTTTTGTTAAATTACAATAAAAATGCAGTATAATAGATTTACCATTGAATGAAGACACTTTGAGATTTGTAGCCCATATGATTGGCATATTTGCCAGATTTTCAAGTATTTTATTACTTTCTTCTTCAGCAAAGGTATCCCACAGGGGTAGTATTACAGCACAAAATGTTTTGTCGATTAAAACAATATCTTGCAGAAAGGTTTCTGTACCAAATCTTGTTTGAAACAGTCGTTTCTGATGTATGTCTATGGCAAAACCTATCACATTTATAAAAAATAATGTGTATATATTTTGGATAGTTGTGTAGTAAAGATGGAAAATGTAAAGTGTTAAGAAAAAGTAATTTGAAATTGGAAATTGGAAAATGTACAGTGTTAAGAAAAAGTAATTTTCCAGGGAACTAGGAATTTTTTTTTTCCATTTTCCATCTTTTGCGCTGGTTGACAGCCTAAATTTTTCACGGAAAATATTTTTCCACCACGTCAGCATTTTTCATCTTTTCCATGAAAATATTTTTCCATGTTTTTTGTGGGAAAATATTTTTCAGCCGACTGCTCAATTTTTTTTTTTTTTTTTTTTTTTGCAATGAAAACAAACGTCATAATCAATTGTAAAATTTTTTTTCACTTTAATGGACAATTTCCATGTAAAACAAAGTAAAACGAACACTAAACTTTGATGAAAAAAATAATTTTTTAGGGAACTTTTTTTTTTAACTTTTTGGCAAGGGAAACAAATTTTATAACCAATTGTGGGAAAAAAATATCACTTTAATGGACAATTTCCATGTAAAACAAAGTCAAACGAATAGAAAATTTAAAAATTTTCCGGGTGAAAAATTATACCAATCAAACACACTTAAAATCATTTTCCCTGTAAAACATTTTCT